CAGCCTTGATTCAAAGCCCTGCCGTTCGCTATGCGAACAGCTGCACAGAAGAAACCAACTCCGTACTGTCTTCCCATTCCCCTCCTGTTAATACAAACCAGCAGCCCTGGCCTCCCTTCAACACGTACCCTGGATTCCTCTAGCTCTTAAGCTTTTGCCCAAATTTGAGTCCATCCATCATTAAAGTGGAAACCTGCCACCTACTCAGATATTTCAAACAATACACCACGAATGGTCTACAGGCACAAAGTGCCCCTCAGGGATACCATACCAAGGTCTAAGCCAGGCCAACACCTGGAGCAGTATAGGCAGAGTGGGCAGGAAGGTCCACCAACGCAAAGCCAGAAAGGGCAGCAGCTCAGTGTGACCAAGGATCTGCCTTGGAAGGAAGGCGAGAGGCTCTGTGCTCGCTCCTCCTGCCAGGAGAGAGAATCCGGTGCCTGAACGTCTTCAGCTGCAATGGTGGGTGGGGATTCTGAGAGGCTGGAAGGAGTTGAGCAGATGCTAGGATCTGCCACAGGTCCTGGGCACCCATTCCCGCCTCCCTGCACGTTGTCAACTCAGCCCCTCCCTTGGCACCAGCCCCTTTCTCACCAAGCCTGGGCTCTGTGTAACACTGCCAGATCTGCCAGAAGCAGGGAGCTTTCAGAAACTGTGCCTGTCCTGGGAAACGCAGGGGGAGGAGTGTGTGCCATCAGTCCTGCTGGACAAAGGCCATCTGCAGCTGGATGTGCCCTGGCTCACCTCAAGAACAGGCTAGATTGGTTTCAAAAGGGTCTTGGCAGGTATAGAGAGGCAGGCAAGGAAAGGCTCACTCACTGGAGTGGAAGGAGAGACCAAGTGCCAAGCTGAGAGCAAGCAGGGGGCAGACCATGTCCCTGAGCTCAGACATCCCTGGAGCCCACCGTTGGCTCCTGGACCAGCATGTGTGAATTCACCCCTCCTTCCTTGGGTCTGGCCCTGGGAGACCAGAGAGTCCAGATGAATCTGGGCCTTCCCTCCTGGGGGGCGGGGAGATGAAGCTGCACGCACACAGACACGTTCCAGTACACACTCATGTCACATCAACATCACAGGCCTCGAGATGCCAGAGCACACCCTGGCGAGGACCCCTCTGCAGAGTGTTGCCAGGCCACCCCCAAGCGACAGGAGAACAGAAGGGAAGGACAAGGCGGGGGTGATGACCACAGAACAGTGAGGCCAGGCAGAGGGAGAAACGGAATGCCTGGAGCTGGTTTGGGGGCGTGGAGCACCTGGTACATGGTGCCCCTCCCTTTCTGCAGTGGGCAGACCTGAGGAATTGGGGAGGACCTCACATCAAACACAGTCAGGACTGGAGGTAGCAGAGCCTCCGAGGGGCGAGGGAGGCTGGAAGAGGCCACAGGAGAGGGAAGGGGAGGTGTCCCTAGGGCAGCCATGGTGGTCAACATGGGAAAGGAGAAGGTAGGGGGAGCTAGGAGGAGGGGTAAGCAGGAGAAGAAATACGGGGCAAGGAAACATGGTGAACCCAAGAGGGCATGTGGGGGGCAGGGAGGTTCCTGGACAGTAACAGCAGCCCCCTTCCTCACCGTCCCAGGGGGCTCCACTGCACTTATCTGGGAAAGGCCACCAGGTTCACCACCACCTAAAGGGGTCCCCCCACACCCTCTGGTGGCAGAATGTGGAAGCACACCCGTCTACTCTGGCCGGCAAGGTGGAATTCATCCACCTCTACATTCAATCCCCAAAGCAGCGCCCAGGGCCACATTCCATAGCAAGGGGGTGGCGGGCGCAAAGGGAGGAGGAAGATGGTCAGATGCAAACGATGATAATGCTCCTCTTCTACCGCTGCCTGCCTTCCCATGAGGCTACCCATGTCCCACTGACCTGTGGCCCCTGTCCCCCACCCTTGTCCTCACCCGAGTGCTGAGCACCAGTGCGCACACCCTTAGAGAATCCTTCTCCAACCCCACCTCTTTCCTGGGACGCCAGACTCATCTGTCCAATGGTCATGTCCCAAATGCAGCTCCTACAATGCTCAGGAAATGGAACTCCTTTCTTCCTGGTGGCACTATGGGTTAGGTGTTGGTGTGCTCATCACAAGGTCAGTGGTTCGAACCCATCAGCCCCTCCTCAGGAGAAAGATAAAGCTGTCTGCTCCCATTAAGATTTATAGTCTTGGGTCATGATGAGTCCCAATCAGCAATTTTCCTTCGAGGTTGGGCCGAACTTACAAGCTGCCCTTCTCCCATCCATGTTGAGTAATCAGCCCATCCTATGCCAGTCCTGCACTTTCTCCCCACTGCACCTCGAGGCCTGTGCACACTTCCTTGATAATCGAGGTCCTGCGGATCTCAGGGGCTCTGCCTGGACTGTTTCCCCCTCCCAGCTCTCTGTTCATCTGTACCTGACAATGGTACAGTGGTTCTTCCAGCACCTCCTTGCCTCCCACTCCACCTGACTGCCTTATCAGGTTACCTGGTTATACCCATACCTTCCCCTGGGGCAAGAGGTGCTCAGTCCTTGTCTTGGTAAATAAATGACTTTCATTCAGGTCACTGCCGGCACTCCTCCTGCTTACGACCCCTTCTGGAAGTGGGGTGTCCCCAGAGCTACCTCCCTTAACTGAATACATGCAAAGTGAGGGGTGCTTGGGGATGAGCCAACGGTGGGATCTTGCTGTATTCATGCTGTCAGTGGGGTGTTGGGGTCTAGCAAGCCATGTTGACCTTTTATATGGAGGGAGTCAAGGGCAGACAAGGATTTCCCCCCATGGAACTGTGTAACTATGAAGTGACAAGGTAAACACCTTCCCAGGGGATTTTCTTACCAGTTTTCTCACGTCCCTCTCTATTGCCAGAGGGTAAATAGGAATGAGACAGATGAAATTCAGTCTCTGGTTACCAGCCAGCTGAAGCCAATTCTTGGCGATCTCACTTAAGTTGGAACAGAATTCTGCTCCCTAGGGTTTTCATGCTAATATCTCAGTAGAGCCCCAGGTCTTTCTTCCAAGGCAATTCTGTGTGAACTCAAACCTCAACTTTTGGGCTAGCAGCCAAGTACTTAAGTGTGTACACCACCCAGGGACTCCTGCTTGTGGTGGTTAAGTGTGTACACCACCCAGGGACTCCTGCTTGTGGTGGTTAAGTGTGTACACC